CTTGACCCCTGCCAGTGGGGGATCTCGACACATCCTCCGGTTATCAGCTTATAGCTCAGCTCATCGCTGTTCCTGCCTGCGTCACGTCGGTTGTAGCGAAACACGCAGGATACGCCAACGTGATGAGATTAATCGAGCTGCCGACTCATTTGCAAAACGTTGGAATATCTTAGATTCCTGCGAAAAGATTTATTTATTATTTTCACATCTCCAATTTTAAATTATAAATATATATTTTTATAAATATAATTTCTATAATTATATATTATTAATTATATTTCTATAATTCTATAATTATAAATATATATTTTTAGTTTATTTCATAAATATATATTTATAAATATGTATCGAGATAAATCTTTAGTAAATCGAAATCTTCTGCAATAAAAAAAAACGAAAACTAAATATAAAACATCGACGTGTTCGTCGAACGAAAAAAATATAAATAATTTCATAATGAATCATCTCTCGCGCGAGAAAAAAAAATAATTCCGAAGATATGTGTTTCGTTCTATCGCTATGATTGCATTCGTACGTTGGCACACGAGAAAAGTGCACGCTATCATATTATGTCTTACCGTACTATACATTACTGCATCGTACAGTAGAAGCAACGCCAAGCACCAGCGTACGAGAAGAGCAGGATGGACGGAGGATAAGATGAGAGAGGGAGAGAGTAATATAACGTGTGTGCGCGGTTTTGCCTCTTTTGCCAGTTCTGCCTTTTTATTTCTTCCTCTCTTCTTTACCCTTCTTCGCCTCTCTCCTGATCCAGGAGCGTATCGACCGACAATGAGCAAAGATCGCTGCTTTTATTGTATCATGCGTTATATTCTATGTATAACATGTTCTACGTCATTACATTTTATAATGAGTTTAGTGAATCTATTGAAATAACAGAGAAGTGAAAAATGTCTGCTTCAAACATTATTATATCATAAATGTCAATAAATGATTTTTTAAATAAATGCGTAATTTTCAAGCTTTAAAGCAATTATTTCGAATCTTTCGTAACGCAAAAAATATTCTATAATTGACAACTATGAAGAGAAAAAAAGAATACCAAAATTTATCGTGGAAGTCGTTGCAGCTACCGCAGCGGTAGCACTAATAAGCGGTAGCGTAAATAAAGGTTGCAAGTAGTAATTAATTGCATGTTCGCTTTTTTTAAGAGGAGAGTTATCAATTAAATCTCGCGTACACTATTATCTTTTATTAAGGGAATCTTCTATTTGGATCTGACTTGGTTTACAACCAGCTCTGTTAGATAAAAAATTTTACAATCGAGATTAGATATGTTTCTCATTGAAGACTTTTATTCGAACGCAAGTTTCGTCGATATCATAAATAAATGCTTCTCGGTCTTTAACCCAGATTTGAAACGCATTCTCTCTTTTTCAAAAGTCATATATGAACCCGTTGGTCGTAGCACGAGGATTCATCGAGAATTCCTCGAAACTACTCAATGACAAACGTGACGTTCGCGGAAGAATTCTTTGTGTCACGCGAAAGCCGCAAACGGAAAACAATATTATGCTGTTGAACAGAGAAAGCATCAATGATATCCACGAAATCTCTCTCTCTCTCTCTCTCTCTCTCTCTCTCTCTCTCTCTCTACAATTGGCGAAATTTTATACAAACATTTGAACATTCTCTCTTTGAATATCTTTTACCGCGTAAATATTTTATCTAATGATTTCTGGACGAAAGGGAGTACTTTTGGGGGGAAAAAATTCAACTGTCCTTTAAGATTATTATTCCCAGCACTTTACGATATCATGTATTTTTGTGCGCGAGCGATATCTCTCTTCGTTCACTTCCGAGAAGCTACGTCGTTAATACGAATCGCGAATGTTGCGCGAGGCACAACAGCCTCCGCCTTACATCCCTGCCGCCTCCTCCCTTCATCCATCCTCGCCTCTCCTTCGCGCACTCCCCCATTCCCTTCTGCATCATCCCGAAGGGCCGATCTTCTCGTCTTTTTCCCCTTCGGGCCCCGCTCGTTCGGTTTGCTCGCTTTGTACAGCGTCACGGCTACTTTTGTTGCTCCTCGCGCTGCTTCTCCTTTTTCTCTTGCTGCCCCTCTCCCCCTTCGCCCTCCCACCGATTCCCCGCTTCTCTCTTTGTCCCTCCGGCTACGCTTCTCCTCGTCCCGAGTTTCGTTCCTTTTTTCCTCCCTCTCCCTCGTTCCTCCCCGCTTCAACTTATTTCAGTTGCTCCTTTTGTTTTCGCCGAGTGAACGAGATGCCGAGAACGACGAGGAGCAAGTACGAGGGAAGGATAGAGGGAGAGAGAACGAGAGAAATTACGAGCGAAAGGAGAAGACGTTGCATCGCGACGAGGAGGAGTCTCGAAAGAGAGAGAAGAGAGGCGCACTTGAGCGAAGCGTGTCCCGACACGCGAGATACGAGGATCGAATTCGACCATCGGATCCGGATCCACGAAACTCGCGATCTTTCTTGGATCACTCTCGTCTCGAGGCTTATTCCCCCCTCCTCTCTCCCTTCTCATCTGTCCCTGTTATTGACGCTTCTTTTCCTCGCTTTTGTATCGAACGTAGGGAAAAGGGGCTCGTAAAATCAGCTTTGCCTCCGAAACACGTCGCTCTAACGCGTTAATTATATTCGCAAAGGTGTTTATAATTATTATTGGATAAGAGGGAAAGAGTTGCATGAAACGAGGTGTAATTCACCGTGTAAAATATTACTAAGATACATGAAAGAAGTTATTTTCTTGCATCGAGAGGAAGAGAAGACTCTCTTTCAGTATCTCGATGGAGTGCCTTGGATTACTAGCTTTGTATTTTTAACGAGATTCGATGTGCATAAGAGAACACGCTCTCCTAAACGTATACTTCTTCTCACAAAGTTGGAATATATAGCAACGCGTGAAAGCAAGATTCGATGAAGTTGTATCGGGGAACTTGTAGAAACACGACGGAGGCGGGACAAGAGAAGGAAGGAAGGAAGGAAGAGCGTCGGCGATCTCTTTGGCGAACGACCACTTATCCTGCCAATACATCTCGTAGCTTTCCGTAGAACAGCGCGATGAAGTGTGCGCGGACATGCACTCATAATTCTGTGAGGATCATTAATGTCATCGATACTGGCATGTAATATTGAAGCCGATCGAAAGACGAAGAAAAAGAGAGGAAGAGACTCGGTAATAAAGTAATAATAAACTAGTCTCGTTGAATAGAAATCTCAATGATGTTGCTTGCTGATCGCGTAGAAGGGAGGAGATGTTAAAGCACACATGCTTGGCGTGCTCTTCCTGTTGTTTCCGCATCCGGGCACGCGTAAAAAACGAAGAGGATACGGCTGGAGACTGGTTCTCTATCCTAAAGAGAAGACACAAAGAGGACTTTTAATTGCCGCACAAAGTGTGTAAATAATATAAGACTCTCGAATTAAACTTGAATTTAAAAAAAGATTATAAATAAGATCCGAATAAGATCCAAAGATTAATAATTGGATTATAAATAAGATCTGAATACGAACCAGAGACGCCTGTTTTCAAGATGCCGTATGTGCATCTCGTTTATTTTTACCGTTCAGACGTAAATATACTGTTGTATTATTCCTCAAGCGTATACTCGTTCCTGTGTGCGAAGCAAAGACCGGTCATTTCGCCGTCTTGAGAATAGTAAAAGCGAGCATTACGTACGAATACATGGTAATTTACAGCTGGCGTATACGAGACGCGGATAGTACGTAAACAGCAGGTTTCTTTGTGCCGCGCACTCCCGTCCCAGGCATTTCTTCTCGCTGCCTCCGCTCTTACGCCTTTTTCCAATTTTTGCACAATCAGCAAGGACCATTTCTTTCCTATTTCCGCTCCTCCTTCTTCAGTGTTCTCTCTTTATGCTGCAAAACAACAATATTTAATATTTTGAAGTTAATTTTATAAAGAAAAATAATAAATTGCATTTTCTATAATTTTATAATTTAGAAAAAATTTACAATTTATTTTATAAGATATAACAATTTTAATATATTTCTATATAATTAAATAGAAATACTAAATTATATTTTCCATAAAACATAATTTTATAATTTGTAAAAAAATATACAATTTTATAAGATATAATAATTTTAATATATTTCTATATAATTATTTTTCTTTATTTTACTTTTATTTTAATTACGATTTTGACGTTTCTCTTTCGTGAAAGGGATTTCTTCCCTGTTGACTTTCTCGAGCGTCTGTACCGAGGAAAAGTGGACCGCGTAGCTCAGAAGTCATCACGCACGGTCATCCTCGACACATACACACACGCGTGTACGCACATCGCCCCTGTCTCTCTCTCTCTTTCTTCCTCTCTTTCTCAGTCGTTATTATTACTCCAACAGTAATCCGCTTCGAATCCCGACCTAAACCATTGATTTGCTCTTGTTGCGCTACTGTATTCATTTGTGTCTCTCATTCTTCATCTCTTGTTCCTTCCCAACTCGACTTGGAGAGTCCATTATGTGCTATGTGATTTTTTTCCCGCTTTACAATTTACTCGCTCGAGTTCTGATTAATCTATGCATGGGATCATCTCAATATTTTTTCAAATATTTTTTCCAATTTTATGGAAATTTTTTGACATTGTTAGACTGTAATATTCCATAGAATATATATACATTGGATATAATTTAGAAAGAAGCATTAATGCACGCTTTTAATGCAATAATACAATGGAAGTTAATAATAAATCCTCATCGTGATTTATTTTGGTCGGTGGCCGAAACAAATCATAAGAGGTCGCGATCTCTCTTGACGCATGTATCAAAACTCCCTGTTACATAATCATCATCTATGAATAGTTTCTAAACAGACTTGCGCTTACATGGATAAAATTGTGTCCGACGAATTGATAAGCAGATTAAAAACTTGACATATTACTTGTTATCCGGTCTTTAAGCTTTATTCGAATTAAAGAAATATAAGTTAAAATAAAAATTAAAATGAGATTAAAATTACAAAATAATTTAACATCGGAAGGGTGTAATTTAAGCCAAGAGACGTCAGATTTTCAAGAAAATTACAAATCTTTTTGCGCATCTCATTTTTCCCGATCGACTTCAAGCAACGGTGATCAGCATGCTTGAACCCTTTCGTTGAGCCTCGGTGATGGCTTATCAGTTCATATCTTGTACAAACATGTTTCACCTGGTCTCGGACAGTCACGGCCCACGCCATTTTCTACCGGCGCTGCCCACGTTGTTTCGTAACAACGTTTCACGAGCCCACTTTATCTCTTACGCTTCGTCTTTCATCTCTTGCCCCCCTCCGTCGATAGATTGGCCCGATGCTTCTGTACGTTGGTAACCAGGAGCCGATACCGGTGTAATTCAGCGAGGGGCAACTTTTTACACCATACATGAAAAGAAAAAGAATCGGTATAAACTTCATTTCTGCCGTTATGTTTATATCGAGCAATTTATCTTAGTACATTATAGTCCACAGAACATTCTATCTCTCAATCTTTTCACGAAATATTAAAACATATGGTCGACTCTCTTTTTATTTCATACTTCTTTTCATGGAACACTGATCTCGTTGAATGAATTGCACAACGCAAATATCGCTATAGAGAGAAAGATAATTGCTGATTACAAATGTTTTCCAAGAAGGATTTTCTCTAATTAAAATTTCAAATCGACCAGGAAGATAGCGAACATGTAATTTTCGATGTTGCGATATTTTTTAATTATTATGATAAGTATCTTTCGTATCGTATGGAATAATTAAAATACAGCATTTTTGACTGATTATCTTTAATCTTTTCAATATATTTGATTCGAAAAAAAAATGCCGGAGAAGAAACTTTTTTAAATTCAATTTTTTTACATTCTTTCATTTCTAATATATTTACCCAGCTGATTTCGCACAATAAGATTATGCATAATAATCATGATTTGTACGAAATACAAAATAATTGTACCAATAATTTTATCAGTGCCAAATGAACGTTTCACGTGCTAAACGTGGCGTTTCAGCCACTTTCGCGACTACACCAAGACCGCGTTAATCCTTCGGCTGTAGCAGATTTCTAAAGATCGTCTTCCATCAAGAGGTAAGGCGATCGAGTTACTTTGTATGTGGAATTTCGCGCGTAGACCGGGCCGCGTAATCCGGGCTTACGGGTCCGCGAGATGCCTGGGCGTGCTTTAATGTGATTTAAACCCACCGCCATACCGGCTACCGTATTACGATTGCGTCTCTCGGACTTCTGTCGTCGGCGCTTTCTCTGTCGTGGGGCCATCCGCGGGCGGCACCAGTCCTTGAGGAGAGATCGCGGGGACGGGGGAGAGAGAAAGAGAGAAAAATAGAGAGAGAGGGAAGAGAGGGAGATACCTACACGCGTGCATGTACACGCAAGAAAGTGGCGTAAAATACGCAGGCGAGGCACGAGTTTTTGCCGGGTGATCGTCTTTGAATTTTAAACGTTACCCGAAGCCGACGAGAACACCGTTGAAATTGCAACGCGAGAATCAGGCCGCGATTAAATATTAATATTGAATTATTTATACAGATTAAAATAATATTCTTTAAAAAAAAAATTAAAAATGTTAATAAACTAGATCTAATAAGAGACCTTTGACAATTTAATATACAAATTTATATATTTTTTAGAATATTCAGAGGAACGATTACGTTATTTCCTAACGTTTGCCGAAAAATTAAATGGCAGTTTCATTTATTATTCACTTATAATCGTATAAGATGTTAAATTGAAGCCTTTTCTTGAAGCCTTAAAATAAAAAAAAAATATATATATATATATATATATATATATATATATATTATATATGTATATATGTTATATATATTATACGTACGTATGTGCGTCGGCATTTCCTTCGAAACGAGACGAGAGGAAGCCTCGCAATTGCGACGACAGTCGGCATTGTTCACCTCGTTTCTGGTCCTCCGTCCTCCGCTCATTGTGCATCCCTTCCCTCTCCTGGTCGCTTTGACGAAGCCGCCGCGCAAGAAAGCCGGCACGGGGCAACGTACACATCAGGTACCTCACTGCGAAAGCCCGCAAAAGTGACAAGGCCCCGGCAATTATAACGGATGGCGCAAAAAAATGGCGCCGCGGTACGGAAGGTCGGTTGGCCGGAGTCGGCTACCGTTTCTCTTCCCCTTTCGCCAGCAACCTTTAAGCGTGTATATCAGGGAGCCCCCTGATGATTAATCGCGGGTATCACGGCGAATCTCGATCGTCGACTCCAAGTCACTCGAATTGGTTCGACGACGATACCCGATCTGAAATCGTTATATATACATATTATTATTATTGATAAATAAATGTGTCAAGTGCAGATATTTGATACAAATCAAAATAAAGAGATGGCTAATAAGTTTAATATTAATATCATAGAGTTTAATATATAATTTATTTTAAAACAAAAAATTCCGATTTTTTTCAGATAATAAATAAAATCTCATCCCCTCAGAAATGATAAATGATATCTTGTGCAATAAATTGCGCAATTCTGAAGCCAAAAATGTATGATTAATTTAAATTTTTCGAAAAGATCCTTCGTCATTTGTACCTGTGAATATGCGAGATGTAATCGTAAATCGAAACCAGATTCGATCGTTCATTAAATCATGCTTATCGTTAAATCATGAACACGAATTAATTAGACACGGTAAAATTATTCGAAATTCAAGTCTGCAATCAGCGCAAACACAGCACAGGTCAGTTGTAAAGTCTCCAATTACAAAATTGCCAATTAATCATTTGATTTTTGGCTTTCATGAAATTCTGTAGGCGCTATAAATTATCATAGATGAAGGGAAATGCGACACATATAGAAAATAATAATTTCATCTCGATAAGGTAGATTTCATATTGTAAAAAAATAAAGAAAAATCTAAAAGAAAATAATTTAAATATTATACTAATGCAAGCATATAATACTGTTGATGTTATTTTCTTCACATTTAAAAAAAATTATATATAATCCTTTTTATTAATAAATTGCTCTTAACACGATATGTTTTTCGAATATAAAAGTATTAAGACATCTATAAGAAAAAGAAAAGTTAAAAATAAAAGTATTTAAATACAATTAAATATCTTTAAAAATTACGATAAAGAAATAATGATTTCTATATTAAAATTCGTTTCATAATTTGAGTATTATATGCCATCTAGTGATCCTAAAGATAATACTGATGAGAGCAGGAGTTCGATTGATAACTGTAGAATAACTCGATAGATAACTTTTTGAAACATATTTTTCAATTTATACAACGAAATCTTATTTCAAGATTCTTTAATTATACAAATATTAATGATCTCAATTTAATAATTAAAATGTGATTTCTATGGATTATAAAATGTGTATTTTATATTTATGCATTTTCACATTATACATGTAATGAAAACTGTATTCATTTGTATTTTTAAAAGCGATAAATATCTGTTACTACCTTATTAGTTGGCCGATTGCACAAAAACAGCCTTTACAGATGTAAACAATATTGGAAGGATAACAAGGAATGTGATCTGTTGAATAGAAAAGAAAAAGAGACGTTAGAGGTTTTCCTCTAACCACCTTTCCTTCCACCTTTTACATGACAAAGACGACACTAACTATGTCAAAAGCGCAATTTTCTTAGAAAGTGACTAAATCTATTCCTCTGTAAATAATTTTATAAAATTAATTAATTATTAATTTTTATTGTCAATGTAAAATTATTATTCATTATCGTTGGTAAATCAAAATTAATCTTTATACAAGCATATATTTGACCAGTGGGTACAATATGGCTGAACAGTGATGATCGTTTTCGCGCCTTTTTGTGGTCGAGAGCAGAGAGATGTCTCTGTCGAGAGACGCCATGAATGTCAACTACTGCATGTTTGCATACAAATCTTACGAAAATATCGTGGATTAATTAGTATGGAATATCCGCACACGATAGCAATATGTCATACAATAGTGATAATATAATAGAGCAGGAGAGAAAACGATCCAAGATTACGAAGGAAACGTCTATCGCAGATATTGCGTCTTCTATTGGTAAGAAAGATTTATTCAAAATGTAAACACGTTTTCTTATATGTATATACCTGGTTTTTTCTATACAGTTTAATTTATGAAGGAAGAAATGTATAGGTTCTGGATGAAGATAAGCCATAGAAAAAAACTATTTTTTTAATAAAATATTTTATAGATTATTAAAAATTTTCTTGTGAAAACTTTAGATTACAACATATAAAATGTTACATGTTAAAATGTAATTTTTGTTTAGGTCACATAACCAAATCTATTGAATCTATGAGTGCAAACTACAGCGAGATCTTAAGGATTAACAAGAATGTTGTTACATATCTACAGAAGGTTGAAGAATCCGAGAAAGGAATAAATCATATTGTAGCGGATACATCCATAGATAAGAGCAAGAGAAGCAATAATTAATGCAACAATTGTATTTATCCCATATTGCTTGAGACATATTAGTCCCTCACTGCGATTTATGGTATGTCATCGCTCTAAAGAATTAATTTATATTTTGCAAGGATACATAGACATAGTTTTTTTTGGTTTGACCTAATTCAATATAGCAGTGAGAAGCATTATTACTTAGTCATAAATATTAATTACAAATATATGTAATATATATGTAAGCAAAAGTCTCTTATATCATAAATTTATTGTCATATATATATCATACGTGTAATAACTAAAGTAAATAGTTATTTCTTACTTTACTACAATAAATTATATACAAGAACAATAATTTTATGATATAAATAACAGAAGATTATTTTTATGGATAATCCTTAATATATCACAATATTTGATTTTATCCACAATAGACTAAATAATAGGTTAAATAATAAATACATAATAGGTTAAATAATGGGTTAATACTTTGGCACTAAGAAAGCTCGTGTTATTCTATTGTAGCTTGGAAATATAATCACAAAATGTAACATTTCTTGCACTAGTAGATCGTAGAGCTAGCAATATCCATTACCACATTACTTTATGCATTATAAATGTGCCAATACTGAAAGTTTATATGTTTTACAATATATTTTTCATCGTGATGAAATTATTATCTAATGAAACAATCTAATGAAAAATCGAATAAAATAATTTATTCTTCCGAGACATTAATAACAAGTCTTATCTCGGTAACGAGATTAATAAAGTGACCATGTTTTAGCAGTCTTGTAATTTGTATATCTGTCCTATTTCTTTATTTATCTATCTTTATATATATTATATTTTTTATATATTCTTATTTTATCACTTATATTCTGGATCCTCCTTAGGTTTTCTTCTAGGATCTGATGGGTCCAATGGGATTATCACAGGCGGCACATTTTCGGGCCGACGGTTAGAGAAATTGTAATTTGAACCTTTCGTGGATACAAATCTGTTTATTGGTCTAGACAACCCTATTGGTCCACATCTGGAACATATTTACGGTTACATTGCGAATAATTGCAGCATGAATGCTATAATTTTGTGCTCAGACTGTGCGTGAATCAAAAGAATAATGTAGGTTATTGTTCACATACATATATATTTAATCTCAATTTCCTGCATCATTGTTTGTCAAGGATTCTTTTAAAGCAATATTAATTATTGTGTTAGTAAAGTACAAAACACTATTTTAAATGCTACATGTTAGTACGTATATTATTTTTGAGACATAACATCATTCTTTTTAGTAACTAGACAGCGAAAAAACGACAAATTTTGACAAATAGAAGGGAATCTTCATTTCACTTTTGCGTATTATTTTGTTTGAAGGAAAAATAATCAAATAATGTAGAGAAAGAAAGAGAGAGCTCGAAAGTAATTTCACTCGCGTGCAAACATTCCATGCGAGTTGGAAAGCACAGGTTGCATGGATTCATGGATGAGACGATACAAAGTACGAGACTTGCAAAAATTCGTGCAAAATCGAATGGATGGCCGAAATAAGTCGAGAATACTTCGGTGAATAGATCGGTGCATTCGCGCGTGGCTTACAAGACAGAGTAGAGTGCAGTGAAAAGAGGAAGACGCCTTATTCCTTTAGAGAAGATCTCTCTATTCTGTCCGTTCACACCTGCACGTGTTGTAGTTGAAGTAATATCCGGTGTTGCATGGCTCGACAGATCTGCACGAGCAAATACAAAGATCCGGGTTCCAGATCTTCGTATCGTTGTTCTTTCGGCACTTCTCCGCCTCATCGACGTTGTCGCAGACGCATTTGCAATTATGCGGCTCATAATGCTGCTTGTCGTTGCAGTGCTACGGTAAAAAAAGCGATACAGTATGAATCATCGACGAAAAGAATGTCAACACTTTGCGTGCGCGCTTAAATACGATTAAATTTTGCTTGTCCAACGCATTGACACACTTCACGAGCACGTTGCAAGGAAGCGTCAATTGTAATAATACGTAATCAACGAAATTGAGAAATTGTCGAAGCTTATTTTGCCTTAAATACCGTACACCACACGTGTCATGAATACCTCAAAGTATAATATCAATTTAAAAAAACATACATATATATTTTTTTAAAAATTGAAATTTTTTACGCTCATGATGAAAATGTTAATTTTGCATTCGAAGGACAAGGTGAAGATGCACATGTGAAGATGATTCATTCTTTCGGCTCGCCTGTCAATTCTGTTTATAATGCAGTTTCACGCATTGTTGGGAACACTTGAAAGCATGAGAGAAACTCGTGCTCTTTTCAATCCACCAGCTGACGTAAATCGCTCTCACGTACGTATGTCGCATGAAAAACAATACAATGACACACGATGTGTGAGGTGCGAAACTCACGGACCGCCCGGTTAAGCAGGAAGGTGTCGATTATCCGTCATTTATCGGTTGTCATCAAATTACCTCCTGTTTGATTTTGCAGTCACACTTGCATTTAGTATGCTCCTCCAACGGCACAATTCGTCGACCCGAGTAATTCAGCTCATTCATCGACGCCACGATCACCTTAAGACAGAGACAAGCGAATAAGAAAAATGTTCAACAATTATTGCGCTCTCTCGAGTTGATTATTTATAATAATAGGCGCGTTCTCTTTCGTATTCAACTCTACGACGATCGATTACCTCAAAGTTTCGGATCTCCACGGCTGTCGGCTGGCAAGAGAGCAAGGAACTACCGCAACAGCCGCCGCACCTGTTGATCCGCGTACAGGATGGGAAGATAATCGTCGAGGGATCGTCGTCCACTTTTAGAGAAACGGGTTGCAACTCGGGCATACACTTGGCCTGTACCGGTTTCGCTGCGTTCGATCGTTCCACGCCTTCGCCAAATCTACCTGAAATTTTCGTTTGTACTCTATCGAATCTAACTGAAAACATTTCAATCTTAAGGACGTTACGAATATTAACTTTCAAATAGATGTTGTGAGATTTTTCTTCTCTTTGTATGTAAACATTTCGTGTTATTATTCTTAAACTTCAGATGAGATACAATGTCACAAGACAGTATCTAGTCTAACAATGATATAAGTAAAGTTGCTAAAATATAGTTCGTTGAAGAATAAGCGAAATTAGACGATATTAAATCAATATTAAATTTTCTTTCGCGTTATTTTTTCCGAGCACAAAGATGAGCAACGAACGTGCCCGTGCAATCTCGGTTACAAATCATTATTTCATGTTGGTCGATGGAATGATTCCTGGTTTTGAGGATCATCTTGCAAAAAATGTGGTGCTCAAGTGGTTTGGAAAAGAGATCAAAGGGAAAGAAAATGTAATTGCTTTTATTGCGTCTGATAGAACAGAATCCTTTCATACGTTTCACGACATTATGCCAATTTCGGATATCATTATTGAGCAGAGACAATCGAATCGGTGAGAATTTTAAAATAATAAATTGGACTCGTATTGTATCTTATACTGTTCAGATTCATTTCAAATTTCTATACTTTTTTCCAAAATTAATTTATATACAATATTCACCTATATAAGTTATATTATATTTAACATTAATTTATTTAAAAACGTAACACATTTTATATTAAATAAAGACGATTTGACTTTTCGCGTAGATCGAAAGTATCTTTAGATAGATTGTTTAGATTCATTTCAAATTTCCATACTTTTTCAAAAATTAATTTATACACGATTTTTAACTTATATAAGTTATATTGTATTTAGTATTTAATTTATTTAAAAATATAATACGTTTTATATTAAATAAAGACGATTTGACTTTTCGCGTAGGTCGAGAGAATCTGTAGATCAAAACGCTAAATGTGAAACCCACACGAGCTATTGTTCTCGTGAGACTGAAATGTCAACGAACTATGAAAACGCAATAGATTCTAATCGGGAAAATAATGAAAATGATGCAACCTCCGTACTTAAAAATGACTGTACATTTAATATCGAGGAGCATGCATGCAAATTGAAAATAATGACAGATTGTGATAACGTGAATGTCAATGATAACATAAATGCAAATATTGACGCGAATCAAAATGAAATTAATGCAACTGCAATCACTAAGATGGATGCTCAGAGTAATGATTTTAACAAGAACGATCTCCGTAATCTTTTCGAGCCCGAGATTACATCTCAGGCTATCGTCGAGAAGATACAGAACATTAATAGGGCAGAATTGAAAGAGGAAATGGCACCAACCGTCAGAGCCATCAACAGAGAGTCTGATCAAGGAGATGAACCTGTTATTGTTGAAGCTGATACGACTAGGTACCTGGAGGCAAATGGAACAATAAAATTTTTGCGAACAAATATACAAAAAGGTAGTATAAATATACGAAATATACAAAGATAGGATAGATGCAATATAAATATATGAAAAAAGTAGCATTTCAAATCAATTTAAAAAAGCAATTTCAAAATATATAATATTTTATTATATCAAAATATATATATCAAATATGAGAAACAATCATAATTATTAATATTATTAAAACTCTAAGATTAAAACATATTTAAAATTAAAACATTTTTTTAACAAAAACTCTATATTTATAAAATATTATAAATTAAATTATAGAAAGATAAATTATAAACTAACATAATGATTTTTAAATAGATAATGTTTTATTTAATAGTAAATGTTAGACAGATATTGATTGAAGTTAATTTACATGATTAAAACGTATATTAAAAAATGTGTATTTAAAAAAATATTATATTAATTAAATTTTAGATTTTCCATTTTTGTATTATTCGTCAAAATTGGCCCTTAAAAGGAAGAATTGGAAACGAAAATGCAAATTACAAATCGCCTATTCGCTATTAATCGACAATAAATCTCCGAAAATTGTCAAAAAGTGCATGCAGGAAAATATTCCTCCCGCTAGTCATTTAAATCCTTCTACTGAAAATACATATAAAATGCAAAAAAATAAATTACCGAGTGTAGAGGAGATTATCCAAGTTAATACTAAGAAAATACGGAATACCTATTTGGACGATTATTTGACATCTTTACCTTCCTCAGAATATCGTGAGAAGTTTTTAAAAGATTTCGAAACCGAGATGCATAAGAAATTCAACGTACAATCTTGCGTGCGTTATGTGGGAAATAAATTGATTTTGGATTATCCGAATAAAAAACCACCTCTTAATGTTATGTATGAAATTCACATGATTGTTTATACAAAAGTTGAATGAAATGAATATATTATGCAAGAAATAGCAGATGCAGAATGAAGCTAGTGCACAAATTTACGCGATTGAATGACATTTGTGTCTATAACTATAGTATTGTCAAGCAAAGTAATCAATCGGATACGCTTCGGCGAATTTGTATTCATTACAATAGAAAAGTATATCCTGTGTGAATCAAAATACCATTTAATTCTACAAAATTCCCGAAAAGTTTAAGCTTGTAAAAATTTATATAATATTTTTCGAAAGCTTATTGCACTGTATCGAAAGTATGAGAATGCATACGAGCCACATGAATTTACATGATAATCTCAGTGTACATTGATAACTGCGTGTTTGTGTAAACAATAAAGCAATCAAGGCATACCGCCGTAACTTAATTTGTGTTTCTGCTTATTGTTAGATGGAAAATATTGATTTTATCACGATCACAGTGATTTTATTTGCATCCCGATAAACGATTATTTTCCTATGATAGTTGTTCAATTATGCATATGACTATATATATTGTGAAACACACATAATTATTATATATTAATATATTTTTGAAATATTATGATTGCATGAGACAATATATTTTCTCGTTTTTGTAGCAATAATAAGTTGTGATAATAGATTTTAAGTTTGATGTTTTTTTTTTATTCAATAAAATAGAATTTGCAACAAGTAGATTCTAATTTGTTTTATACCTTTATATGACTAATTTTTCAGGATTGTTATCTATCACGAAAATATATAATGAAAAGACATCGGGTGAATTAAACTTACTGCTTAATGTAGACTCCTTTTCATTTGTGGGAACACCTTGAAGAAGTTGCAAAAATTCGTCCGACGTTTCTATGGAATTTAATTTAATGGCTAAACCGAGCGGTATCTGAAAATAAGATATTTTTACAATATAAATTATACGTTTTATATAAATGTAGGTATTCTCTATAATATCTTATTATCAATTAGTCAGCAATAATCTAATCAAAATCTGATAATGATGAAAAAATCATGTGTGATTAATGTGTAACTATAACGATATAATATGATTTCCTAGTATTTATTTTTTTCAAAGTCAAGGCTACAAATTATTAGAAGTTATTTTATTAATTTGTAATTAAATTTTTTCTGTATTTTTCTGTATATCTTAGAAAATTTAATATGTTTTAATATTACTTAAAATTTAATATTACTTAATGTGATATCAAAGATAATCGATTATCTATATAAAAATTTTTTTGTGATGATTATTAATTCTTTTATTAATCCACGGCTAGCATTACTGCATTTTTCCTGCATCAGCTATACCGGAAAATTTTATTGCGTAAGGAAAGATAAATTTAAAATGAAAATTTCTCAAGTTTAAATTCTGTTGGTGCAACATGATAAATGTTCAGGAACAGAAAGAAACAGAAAGATGATAAATTTTAATGGATCATACGCGTAAAATAATCGATTATTTATTTCCACAATCTCATAAATATTAATTCAAAGATAAACATAAGATTATCCTTCGATCGGGATATTCCCACAAATTGTGAATCATCCTGTTCAATCGCGGATACTGTGACTAAGGAGAAAATTATCTTGACTAAATATGAATACCGGTCAATGATCCATATATTACACAAAATCTTGTTTTGTTTAAAAAAAAATTGATTTGTTTCCTTTATTTATTTACTACATTTAAAATAAAATAAGTTTTAATATGTATTTTTGTTATTTTAAAAATAATCGTGTAGGATAAATCTTAAATTTTTTATAATAAATTATAATAATTATAAAAATGCTTGAATATCATATAAAAATGGAAAAGATGAAATTTATAATTTGTATTGTTCTACAAGAAATTTTATTATAACTGAATTGTATCGAATAACTCTTTAATTTCTAACTAGCCTAAACATTACTGGATTTTCGACGTTTATATTAAATCGACATACTCCACATTGATAAATATCTGTAAATAGAAGATAATACAGTAAGGAGTAAGGAGTAAGTTTGGGATATTGCATAGTTATGTTATTAGTCATTGATAGCCACTGCTTTGGGTGCGAAATCATTAGCTTCGATATCATGAATCAAACAGGTTCTCAAACAGGTTGGATCGTTTTTATACCACGTAGCAAAAAAGAGTAACATAGCTTTAACGAGTGGCTCGAAATTTAAGCATACTCGCATCTATTATATTAATCTATCATTAATAGCAAATATCGCTTTTTTTAAATTATACTGATTTTAAAGACAAAGCTTAATTCAAACACAAAATATAAATTGTCTTAAATTTATTGACTTAAATTTATAGATTTAGAAAAAAATTAATTATAAATTTATCAAAGAATGCGCTTCAAAATTTAATGCAAATATGAAACACTATTATAAGATTTATTAATTAGCAGGAAATTATTTATCTGTGTTTCTTCATGCGATATATAATAATGAAAATTGCTTCTTTTTAACTCTGAGAAATATTTTTTCAAAGTGGCACGACACAACGCAGCCTTATAAGATTTGAAAGCAACAGGTTGCGCACGTTCTACGATTTGCATAATCGAGAAATATTTCGCGTATCGAGACATTATATTTTCTAGGAATCCTTCTGATTTTATCGGCTTTCCAATATACTTCATACGAAATATTGAACTCGCAGGTAACCTTCAAGTGAAACCTCAAATGAGCGACTTTACGATAACGACCACGACGGACAGTCTCCTCTCTCGGAATAGCGACTGGTTGCGACCTTGCCAAGGAAGCAAGACCTTACATTTAGCGCTTAGGCGCCGTTATGTTTTATTGAGCATTCGATTCAGTGACTCAACCGCGGTGAGGATAATATTATAATTATCAAGCTAATAACTAACTATACAGGCTAATAATTGTACTGTTGACATAAAGATTCTCTTCTAAGCAAGTGGCTCGACAAGCTTACTCAGTTATTTTTTCAGTTGCACGCGAACTCATTATCTTACACTGTATTTTTACACACCTAGTTTCTTCTCTCTCTTTCTCAAGCTGATTATTTATTATCTTGCATTTTTATTTTTTCATTTTAGCAATTCGCGTATCGTTAGGTAAATAGAGTTAGAGAGTTATAGCGGTAGAGTTACCGATATAGATAACGACTTAGTCGGCCAGGTATTTGCACAATTGCATGCAAGGTGAGATGATGTACGATCGGTTTTACATCGTGTCGCGAATCACAAGCGTGTCGATTGCGCGCGTCGATTATTTCGCTCGAGAATATCCTCGACATTAGCAAATTTGGCCTTCGACGTCATTTCGGCCTTTGTGAATCTTGGAAACGTGTTGCAACGCGCACCATATGTCATTTTAATTCAATCGCCTTATATTTTAATATTTTTACATTTTTACAACTAACTAGATGTAAAGTGAAGTGACAGTTGTAAATATTTTCCAATTTTTTATTAAATTATTTTTTTATATTTAATAACGAAATATTGCCTGCGACTATTACAACTTTTGGGTGTGTCATGATTGATTCAAGATTAGAGAGAAAGTGATATCTGATAAATTTAATCCAACTTTTATTTGGAACAATTTGAATTAATTTAATACAATACAATAAGAATCAATGTGTACCAATTTACCAGCGCATTTTCCCTGTCATCCGCAGAGCCCTTCGTGGGTTTAACATCAAGGGCCCTCGATCTCGAGCCAATCGGTCCGGGAAAGACTACGTGATCAGGATTGCCATGATACTGAGCGCTAACTTGTCCTACGACGAATCCGCCGCAAACGATCGCGAAAACGAATATTTTCGCGCCGAAATGAAACAGCTGATTGTCAAACGGCGCGTCGAATTGCATTTTTCTCGCAATTCCGCGGATAATTTCTATTCGTCTCTACACACTTTTTTTTATACAAGCACACCAAGATTTGTATCGATGTCGGCGATAATAATACAGAGATGTTACGTCGACGATTATTATTATTCGATTATTATCCGCTATTATACGATTCTTCTCGCAACTGATCCACGAGCCGGCTCCTTGCTTCCTTGCACCGAGTTTTCCGAGTTTCCTGCGCGATAAGTGCCCGTTCCGAACGATACACCTGAGCGTTCCAAGTCCTCGCGCCGCGATCGACTGATGAGACGCACACGTCTCGCGCGTATTTCTTGACTCACGCACACACGTGCGAGCGCGCGGCGCGCACTGCGATTCGCCGCGGAGATAAGCGCCGTGACTTTTTTGCGTACGCTGATCATCCTCGATCGAAATGTTTATCATAATGAAATTACAAAAATTAAAAAAACCGCAACGTAAGAATATTGTGCGCCTCTTGCATAATCCGGGAAAACCTATTCCACGAATTTGTGTCGAAAAAACAGGCGCGATAAAATAACGAAAAGAGCTTATTTCGCTCGTCCTCGATCGAAATGTTGATCGTAACGAAATTATGTAAAAAAGCACGACGTAAAAATATCGCGCGTTTCTTACATAATCCGGAAAATTCTATTCTGCGAATTTGTATCAAAAAGACGGACGCGATAAAGTCATGAAAATAATTTTTCTTATCTATTATTTTTTATTATATCTCGAAGATACGTACGTTTATCGTATGTTTTTTTTCACGTATTTGTCATGTATTTTATAAATATAATTCGTTATATCGTATGTTGAAATTCTTAAAGAAAAATAAATTCCACGAATTTTTTATTGGGCATTGAAACATATTTCCTATGGAATGTGTCTTTCAGAATCAATCTTGTCACAATGAAAGAATGTAGATTTTTCTTTTTGGTGTTGTATTTAATATCTTAATTAATATCTTATATTTAATAGATTAGTAGGTATTACGAAAGTCAAGTCTTTCAAAGTAGTCATAAGGAAATAGTCATAATTTATTATAAATCTATGTAGAATAATGATAATGTAATAAGCCAAGTTTTTCTTTTAATACTGGGAGAGCATTTTGTATGTGTGTGGATGAATACAAGTAGGCGTTTAAATTTGCATATGCAATTGATTTAATCTGAGACTCAGTTTTCATAACATTATACCTCAAGGTAATAATCTTAATGTTCAATGATGCAGTCACTTACATAAAGTGCAAATGGAGCAGGAACTTGCAAAGTAATTTATGCAATTTATTAATAGCATTTGACAAAATAAAATCATAGTTTCGAAAATTAATATCGGATTTATAAATTAATCTGATTATCAGTGCTATTATTCATAGGGTAATTGAAGATAATTTACTTACCAAATGATTAATTGACTAAATAATTTACTTGCTTCTACATAGATGGTGCTGATAATCGGATATTTCGCGCGAACATCAAGCATTCGTGTTCGTTTGAATTTTATTTCTATCAAATTCGACACTTTAATATGTTAATTTCCCATTGAAAAAGTCTATAGATCAAGTGAGTTACTACGATTGATTCGCTCTTTAGTTACTGTTTATAATAATCGCTTAAATATTTCGAGTTTTATTTCTACATAAATTCAAATATTAATAAGTTTTATTTTTACTTCAAACTGCTTGAAGTTTGCGCCATTATTTTCGCGAAACGCGTCGCGTCAGGTGTAGGCTCGAGTCGCTCCATACTTTTTGCGGTTATTATCGTTTAAAAGTGAATGTGAGACGTAAACGCGAGTGTGTTTCGTGTCCTCTAACGTAAATAATCGGTTGTACAATATAAGTACGACTGTAATCAAAAGAAATTAGGCGGGGTCATGTGTGTTTATCGTTCTACGTATCAAGAGTCACCATATTATTTTTCAATGTATCACCTCGCGTCGCGATGTACGGATCACTTTTGGATCGCTCCTCATTTTATACTATTACTGCTTTTAAGTGAAATCTCGTGTGCAATAAGTGATCGCGAGTTTCATGTGAAGCGTAGGATGTTGATCGTAACGCATTGGACGCATAATCGAGGTTCAGCGAAAATGCAGATTATCAGGTATGTACATAGATTTAATTCTGTCTCGATTATTTCTTTCTCTAATATATGAACAAGTAGATAGAAAAGCAGATATATATAGGTTGGTAAAAATTTGAAAGAATAGTACATGTATGTGTGTGAGTTTTGAGCATGATAAAACGCTTACGTGTTTTATTTAATGAAGTAATATTACCGACAATCGAGTTCACTTAATCATCAGCTATTTTAAGATGTTACCATTGTATGCTTATTATTTTGACATTACCGACAGTTGGACTCATTTGATCAATCACTTTACCAATTATTGCTCATTTTTTTATATTCCCTCGCAAGATAAATTATAAAAGATAAAGAAACAGAACATTTTAATAAAATTGAAAATAATGTTAGTATTTGCAACAAATCAGTTGAGAATTTTAAATTCTGATATTATCTAATATCCGATATTTCAAAGTGTAAAAGGAATATTTCAAAAAATGCGTAAATATTAATTAATTTGTCATTAAAAATACTCTTAATAGATATTGAAATATTTTTCTAAAAAATTTATAATTATAAACAAAATTTATATAAATTAAACTTTATATATTATAAACAAAATTAGTAAATGTGCACATAGTAACAAATTTTTATTACAATTTAATGATAATCTAATATATTAAGCACTATTAATTAATGTTTAATACTAATAATAATCCAATAAAATATTAAGTATACGCAGTATTAAATATTATTAATATTACTAATTTTTTGTATTTTTTAATGATTGTCTTTTCAAATTGTTTAAATTTTTATTAAAGTACCATGTTTATATTTTTTTATCAATAATATTATTTCAATAATCAATAAGTACAATACTAACATATATTTCTTATAAAGAGAGAAAAGAAGAAAAAGAAACAATAAATCCATATAAATTAAAAACTTTTTATTAAATAATAAAACAATATTTTTTAATATAATATTTTGCTAATACTGTTACGAATGTCTTATTTTTATTATTATTTATTTAGATAGACTTAAAAAATATATATATAAATAAATATTTTTTAAATATACGTAAATAAATATTATGAGAGATTATAATTAAAAAAAATGATTTCTTTTTAGAATTACTATGTTTATTAAAATAATGTATACACAATAATGTATACACAATAATGTATACACAAAATTTACATGATTCATGCTAATTAAAAAAGCATATTATATATGTACTTGTGGCAGACGGTAATTGTTTCATTTTTTTAAGCAGTTTTTTTTAAATATATGTTACTGTAAATATATGCGCAGAGAAGAAAAAGCATTTTAAATCTTCGTTTTTGACAATAATGTCATTGCCTTATAATAGTATCTTCCGCAATGTTGCTTGCACTATTCTACAATTAAACAAAACAAAAATAATCAATTATTAATTGGTTTATTTTAAGATATAATAGTAATCTGAATATAATGAAAATATATTTATTTTATTATTTTTTTAAAATTTTTATAACATTTTAAAATACAAATTTTACGATACAAAAAAATACGTTACAAGAAAATACAACAAAATAAAAGTAGATTTTCTAATTATAAAAATCTTATGGAATGTATACTTACAAGTGCAAGAAGAGATAATGAACAAAGTTACCAATTTGAAAATGTTAAAATTAATCTGCATCCTCCGGTACGAACGCGCCTATAACCTGGCGGACATTTCGTTTGTATCCAGTTTCTGTCAGGAAAAGTTAGCGGCCGTCCCTCACACGCGAATACTAACATTATTGACACGAGAATCAGTAAAAACAAACGTGCTGGTGCCATTATTACAAGCACTATCCAATCTTTCAAATCCTTTCAAATTGCAAATTGGATGATCAAGATTAAATACAGGTGTTAGAACGTTTTTCCTTTCTTTAGCGTATATAGTAGATGCTTATAGCATCAAAATACTAATAAACGACTGATCCCTATAGTTATATATATATGTATTTATATGTAACTAGGTTCCATTAGTGTGGTTTTCCGTCTCCTTTCCGTTTCGTCACTGTTAATTTGCGGTTGAAATCATATCCTGACTACTTACGCATGAGCTTTTATTCGAAACTTCCGCAACGCGATTAAATATTGAGAGTGATTGTGCAATATATATTCGAGGTTTATACATTGCAGACAAATCTGTTTCATGAGTCAGTTAGAAATACGGGCGATAAGAATAATGTATAAACGTATTTGAAATGTTTTGTTCATTCCATGGCCTTTACATATATAACTATTTTAAATATATAACTATTTTAAACACAAACACATACATATACATATATATGTTCATTATTTATTTCGTACGCTTTATTTTTGTTTATTTTAAAGATTATACAAATTGAAATATAAAGTTACAATTTATTTCCATATAATTTTAATTAGTACTTTTAATCATCTTTTAGACAAGAAAGATTTAATTTTCAAATTGTGTTACATAAATACTAAGATTATAATTATTTTTTAAATATTAAATATTATATAATATTTAATTATGAATTTTTCATATAAAGTCAAAATTTATTTTTATTTGTAGAAATATTAGAATTAGTGTACACGCTAAATAAAATAAGCTGTGATGATATTTTCATATTTTGATTATTACGATTATTGTTACGATTGACAATTTGATTATGTCACATTATAGATTTTATATATATTATTATATAATTAATTAAATATTTTTAAGATATATAGTTTTCATTTATTCTTAATTTTTAGAATATTTAATTTACTTGTTTTTTTATTTAGGAAATATTTTTACGGAAAATATTAGTAATAATTATCAATTAAAAGATCTTATAACAAAAGCATGCTTTTTGAAAATATTTTACATACATGAATTTTAAATACAACCTATAATTATTATGGTTGTATTTAAGGTAATACAACCTATAATTATTTTCATACAAATAAATTTTATTTTTAATTTACAAATAAATTTTATATGTGATAATATTGAAAATAAGAACTATAGAATATACGTGGAAATAAAATGCCATTATAAATAAACGCTTGAGCAATTTATTGCATATTTAAGTTTAACAGACATTAAAGGAGATCGATAAAAGGTGATAATTGTATATTCATCATAGACAAGAATATCTAGCGTCTTCCGGCAAATAAAATTAACTGAAAAGCATTATACGTCATCGGAGTTATCTACGTCATACTGCAAGTATAAGTGAATTTGTCT